TGGCGTCGAATGGCCAATCATAAGATTAATTTATTCGGCAGCCATTTATAATAGCGATAAATCAATCTTATGATTGGCCATTTGCGAGTCCAATCAGGACTCGTAACACCGGTCGCGTTTCTCTGATAATCTAGGACTCTAGGTTACTCGACATTTTAGAGATAAAATAATCTTTTTTGGATGAAATCCAGGATTGCGTGGCAAATTACGTAATAAAATGGAATGTTTTGATTGGTCAATTTGGATAACGTGACGCGTGACGCGCTCAGTGGGAACGCATCCTTGGGGCACCTGCACACTGGACGCGGAAATGATTGCCGCGCGGTGAACGCGCAATCTGACAGCTCCTAAAGAAAGATGACATGTCTATTGGCTTTCACGTTGCATTTTGCCGCGCGGCAAGCATTTCCGCGTCCAGTGTGCAGGAGCCTTTACTGATTAGTGCTTTATCATTGTGCATGCGTGAAAAATCGGCTCAACCCACTAGATATCCTCTTCCTAGTTCCTTTCGTGGGGCTTTCCATCTTCCGACAATCCGACCTTTCCGTCTCAAAATTTCTAAAGAAGCAGACGGAGCAGACCGAGCAGACGGAGGCGACGGAGCTCACGGAACAGTTCAGTTGAGTCAGTACTCAATTTGTTTTTGGCAAACGTAAAATAAAGGTACTTGAAATAAAATTTTGAAAGAGGAAAGAAATTTTTGAATAATTATATTCAATGTATCGTTAATCGCATAGACGAGAAATCGTCAGAAAGTTCATCGTGATGATATATTGCTGCAACAAACGCATTACGTCAAATACTGTATTCCTAAGAAACGATTCTTAATAGTTACAATTGTGATAACAGCTTCATTAGGATAGTATAAGGTGCAATACGCTGTCTTAACACATTATTCATTTAAATAAAAGAAATAGAAAAGGAAGTCAAAATGATAACAGATTTGTCGATTGTGCCACTTATCGCAACCACTGTTGCAAGTAGACAAGTTATTGCAACTATGCTGAACCCCATGAAAGTTTTACCAAGTGACATTGGTTTGCCAAGGTATGCATTTGTTCACAATTTTTTAAATGAATATAAACATGCATTTTATTATTAAAAAGTATCGTGGTAACAAAGTTATAAACAAATTACAAGGGACTGGAGAGGTTTGGCACATCTATTAGAGTTTAGCTCAGAAGACGTGTCACTTCTAGTGTCACATTCTGATCCAACAATGCAAATGTTGACAATGTTGGAGAAAAATCAAAAAGACGTTACAATAAAAAATTTTCAAGCAATGATGGAACAAATGGACAGATGGGACATTATTGATGACACTGAAGCTTTATTTCGTATGTATTACTAATAAATAAAAGAAATAACTTTTATATTTTTTGATATTTATATTTTAATAAAAAAATGTACAATAGTATAAGTACATAAATCTTCCATAACTATATAATTATCAGCTGAAAATTTATCGATATAGAAACTGATGCTGAAAAATATTTGGAGGGTCAGCAAAGAGCTCAAATATCAGCAGAACCAATAGACAAATGTGCCGATCAAGAAATACTTACATCAGGTTAGATTAATTATAAATAATTAGGTTTGTTATAAATGATTTATAATGACTAATATTTTAGTTTAGATTATTTCATGTATGTTTAATTATATAAAATGACATAAGTGTTTGTATGTTTCTCATAGATGATATTCACAGATTAAAGCAAGGTTTAGAAACACAATATTACGATGCATTCCTTCTGTATGCGGATGAGGATGTCGACTTTGCGAATGAGATGGTGGAAAAGCTTGAGACACAATTCAAGCTGAAGGTATTGCAAATAAATGAAACTTACATAATAATATATAATTTTTTTTACACATAAGGTAATATTAAACTGTATTATTACTTTCAGTTGTGTTTGAAAGATCGAGATTTGGTCGCTGGTAAATTCGAACATGAAGCAGTAATGAAGTTAATATCTGAACGTTGTAATAGATTACTTATTATAGTATCACCAAGTTTTTTGAAAAGCTCGGCAAACAAATTTTTCTTAAATTATACACAAGCCTTAAGTATTGGTATGTGTTCACATTATATTTCTTTTAAAATCCAACTGAAAATATTTTAAGTATTGTATTTGAATTTCTAAGAAATCATTTTTGTTTTCTTAAGAAAAACAACAGAGAAAAATTATACCGTGTATATACAAAAGCTGCGAATTGCCAATTCAACTGAGATATATATGTAATTTGGATTATAATCGGAAAGGATTATATGACTTTTGGGGTAAATTACGTGATTCTATACAAACTCCGAATTCTATTGCTACAAGGTAACATAATTCTTAGTCAATTTGATTTATATATAATAAATTATGTTAAGAACACAAATGATATAATTATTAATTTCACAGCAGTTTGATTCAAATAGAAAACAATATAACACAAGAGACAACAGAAGTAAAGAAAATTTTGTCTGACAAGTACAATGATATACCTCACATTACTCAAGAAATAAATGAAGAGTTAAAATACCCACAACAGAAGAGTAAAAATTGCAAAAGTGAAAGTATTGCAGAAACAAGTGATATAAAAAATTTAAATATTAGTAATAAAAAGAATAAGACATGGGAAAAAATCACTTCAAATTGGAAGTTGAAGCAAACTAAGCAAAGTGATGAGTTAACTACAGAGACAATTGTTCAGAATTTGCCATCAGTAGATAATTTAGACAGTTTAGATTTATCAAATACTCATGTAAATAGGACCAAGAAGAAAAATTTATTTGGCAAGTTTAAGAAGAAAAAAATTGCTATAAAAACTTGACAATCTTTGTTTATATAAAGGATTGTATATAATAACATAAAATTCTTCTTTTTAATATTTCTATGTACAGAATGAGGAAATATACATTTATACGTTTATAATGCGATAAAAATTTAGAAAGGTACATATTCAAAGTTTTACACGACAGTCGTACATATTTTCAGAAGATTGTAAAATTCAGAACAGTTTGTTACTAATAAACAATATAAATGTATTATATATATATATTTTTTTTGAGATTATTGAGCCAAACATGATATGTTACTATTAACTGAAAAAAATTTTTTTATATCTACATAAGAAATACCAGAAATTATATATGTAAGTTATATAACATAAAAATTTATATACACTGTATGTATATAGTGTGTGTACGTGTGGGGAGGGAGAATGCGCATGTGTGTACACATTAATTAATATATATATATTTTTTTAGATACATATATAAGAAATATAAAAATTGAAATATACATTTCATTATCAAAGTATATATTTATTTTTCGTTTTTATCGTTAGTATGATATCGACTAGATTTAAAGTATATATGTTTGAGTCAGATCCAATAGCCCATAGCATACTGATTTAATATAAAGTTCTAGACATCAGATCCGATATGAGTTATCAGGACATGAATTCTTCGGGAACGGCATTCTCTCTATAATGTCCTTTTTTAAATCCTTTCTTAATTAGTATAATGTAATAAATTTAGCTTAATTCGCGGAAATTATCATATCAAATATAAATTCAATATATATAGCAAAAGGAATAATTATTAAGATATCGACCATCAAGGGGCGTTCAGCAGATAGGTCAGTGAATGTTTAGTAATTCTTTGTTATGATTGGTTTCACTCAGATTTAATGAAAAGTTGAAGGCAAAAACCAATTATATTTAAAAATCACTGAGTGGTCACTGATCTGGGCATTGATCATGTAACTTTTTCTCTAGGGCGAAAAGTGAAAGCACCGATGATACACTATTAAAGATATCTTTATTAGTATCTTGTCGGTGTTTTCATTTTTCATGTTTTCGCCCTAGAGAAAAAGTTAGATGATCGACCTTGCTTTATCTATTGAACGCGTCCATTCTTATCAAATATCTATTTTTACAATTAAAATCTGATTTACTTTTTAAATAATTTTTTACGGTCATGTTTGATACGTAGATATATACGATTGGATACAACCTTTTCCATATACAACGCAGTTTAGGTATATTCACTTAATGCCCGGAACGCTCTTGGAGTAATTTTATTCTTGTTTATTAAATGTTAAACAAAAGACAAATAATGTTGTAAATGTTGCGAGTTTAAAACGAAATTATTTCAAAAGGTAATTGTATTGCAATAAATTAATATACAAATATAATATTAAAAATATTCGCTATTTATTAAACAATAAGCTGCATTACATCAGAACATAAATATAATTTTAGAATATAAATATAATATTTTTTATGAATGAATTTTTTTATAAGTATTACTTTGAATAATCTAATGCATATCTAATAATTCTTTGCTTGTAAAAGCTGCAGAACCGAAGATGGATTTACCAACGTCGTATGTCGCTACTGAATATAAAACAATTGATGGCACTTCAAGGTAATATTTATTATTCTAAGCGAGAACTAAAATATAAATGTTATTAAAATCGAGATAAAAAATAGATGAATAATTTAAAATAATAATTATCAATCATTGAACGAAATTTTATATACTGTTATTTGCGTAACTATACATTTACAGGAAATATTTTACTATAAAACAACGCTGCGTAGGAAACGTACGATGGTATGCATGTTTGTTCTGTCCGAAAGAACAAAAAGTCATCGGATTTGATATATTATTTGCGCATACATACCCAAGAGAAATCCTTCAAGGTAATTAAATTTTTATTTTGTTTTTTTTTGTTCGAAAATATTAGGTCACGATGTATCACACTGATTTTTCTGCATCTTTCGGTGTATGTATTGCGTGCATTCTTTTACGTTATCGAAGATCATCTACTCTCGTCGAAGATCATGGAAGTGTCGTTTCAACTGTAAATGGCGCCAGATTTTACGCTTTTTTCAACTAGTTTCAAAATATCAATGCGGAAAAAGAAAAATCCTTTATACTGCCGAACAACGCAATGCTATTGATAGTGAATCGAAGAAATAATCAGAGATTTGATATTGTCAATTACTTATTAAGCGTTGACTTATAAAATAGATAAAGAACGTAGAATATTGCATATACCATACAAGAATTAAAAGAATTAATATTAGAGTATTTTGTTTGTCCAAGAACTTCAAAGAAAATTGACCGGATAAAAATGTAAATAAAAGTGTTTTGTAGTTATAAGAAAAAATGAGGTACTATTAAGATGTAAGTATAGAATTATTTTTTCAACTGTAGATTTTACAATTATTACAGCTCAGTTGAAACTTACGAGTAATAAAACAAGAATTTTCATTCGATAAAATATAATTTACTCCCAATGCATCGCAAGCAAATGTGTTTGAATTGAAGAGCACGTTGCATTGCGTTATTATTTCTGTTAATTTATACCAATTGAATTTAATTATTATAGTTTAATTGTAGTTCTCAATTGTTAGACGAGAGCGATAACATCCCTACATCCCTAATTTTATCTATTTGCGGAATAGACGACTAATCATTAATTTTATCAGTATTATTTATAACAGATTCCCAAGATGCCAATTGCGAACGCTGTCGATGGTTGCGCGCATAAGTCAACTTCCAACGAGGTACTAGGATTAGTTTCCGAGGATTGGCAGTAGATTCCTAACAAATGTGACGATTTTAACGTTTGTAACTTAAGCTTAAACTTAATATTTTTTAAATGAATTATTAATTCAGAGACATTAGATATATGATATTATAATTATAAATTTTCCAAACCTTTTTGACTAAACTTTGCGTTATAGAGGCTGCAGGTATGCGGTCGAATGTCCTCGTGTTGCCATGAATGGAATTCCATGAATGGAATTCTTTTGCGTGAATGCCCGATTGTAGAGCACAGTGCACTGCAACAAGAAAAAACGTACTTGTGAAACTATCGTTCATAATATTATCATCGACAAATTCGTAAACAAAGCGTTTACCTTAAAAGACTTTTCTTCAGTATGTATATATATGTATGTACATACTCTGATCTAGTGCTTTCAAGGAGACACTCTTATAGCGTATATTTGTATCATTCTGTCTTTATCGTTCATTAGGTATAAAACAAAAATAGAATGACACAAATAGCACTAAATAATGTCTCTTTGAATACAACCTCTGACTGCACATTTCGATGCACATGTGATGATACCAAAAGTGGGAGGTGGAACACGTGCAGATGAAAAGGAGCGCGAAATTTAGACAGCCTATGGTGAACAACATGTCGAAATGGCACTGTGCACTTGCGCTGCATTGGGAGTAAATATTTATACTTTGTCCATTTTATGAGTTAATGCTGGAAATGATTTTTTTTCATTTTTTTCTTTGTTTTCCTCGTATCGTCTATCACGTATGACCCTTTATTTATCTCTTGAACTCTTATATACGTGCGAGTTTTTACTAAATATTGTAGCACTTCATGAGGTATTTCGTTCACCTGTTCACTATTCTCCACGAGTGCCACAACCTTTTTTATCACAAAGCTGTCTTTTGAAAAGTAGTCACCATGGAAATGTACGAAATACTCTTCAACGACGTTAGCCGCTTTTAATAGCTGTATTGATGGATTGGTGAGGTAACCTTTGGAGAGACCTTGAATCCGTTCTGATATTGCATCTGCATCTTCAGTAGTCTCTAAAGATGGGTACTTTGCTTTGAATTTACGAGCAACAAATCCTGCGATGCAGTATTCCAATCCTGCTTCTTGAAAAAGATTCAAGCAGTCAGATGAACCCTTAAAACCATTTTTCACGATTTCAAATAGTTCGTCATCAAAGCCATCATGTGGGTCATCAAAGCAAGTGTCAATCGTTGATTCTTCGTCGCCATAATTACTGTCCTCCAGTAATTCCTCCGAAGAAAGATCGATGATGTTAAAAAATAATTCTCTGGTTAGAATTATGTCTTCGGCACGTTCTTCTGATGTACATTCGAGCTCTTCTTCCTCTTGCAAAAAGCTTTCATTTGATTTCGAATCATGTAGTGTCATTCCTTGAATTGGCATAGATGTAGGATTATTTGTTTTTGCCGCTGGAGTTGTCGTTAATTGTTCTTCAGCACCTTGATTTGTTATACCGTCAGTGGAAGAAGATATGTAAGTACTATCTACATACTCGTCGGTGTTTCTGTTCAAGGTAAACACAGCTTGCGTATTCTTACCAAGAATGTACCAGCGAATTTTGTATATAAAGTCGTACGGTGAGGAATGATTCTTGGATGAACCTTTTATGTACGCAAAAAAATTTTCCAGAATGTCCTGCTGAATTCTTCTCGTGATGATGTACTGGCACTCTTCTGGATATTTTTTTTGCAGGTAGTGGAACAATCCTCGTAAAGATCGGTTGCTTACGAGAATGCCTTTTTGGAAAGGCATTAAT